CCCAGTCACAAAAAGACAATCATAGTATGTACTTACTCATATATGGATTTTAGACATGAAGCAGGGTAGTGCCAGCGTACAATCCCCACTGCCAGAGAATCTGGGAAACAAGGTGGACCCAAAGAGAGATATGCATGACACCCCAGAGAAGGGGAATGGGACAGGATCTCCTGAGTGGATTGGGAGCATGGGGAGAGGGGAGAGGGAGCTGGGAATAAGGGAGGGGAAAAGAGGAGGGGAGAGGAGGACATGGGAGAGCAGGAAGATTGAGTCGGGGGAAGAATAGAGGAGAGCAGGATGAGAGATACCATAATAGAGGGAGTCATTATAGGTTTGATTAGAGATCTGGCACTAGTGAGATTTCCAAAGATCTACAAGGATGACATCAACTGGAAATCTAAGCAATTGTGGAGAGGGTACCTTAAATGCCCTTCCCTGATAATAAGATTGAGGACTACCTTATATGCCATCCTAGAGCCTTCATCCAGTGACTGATGAAAGCAGAGGCAGATACCCACAGCTAAACACTGAACTGAACTCTTGGAACCCAGTTTCAGAGAGGGAGGAATGATGAGCAAAGGGGTCAAGACGGGGCAGTTGAAACCCACAGAAACAGCTGACCTGAACAAGCAGGAGCTCAGGGACCCCAGACTGTTGCAGCCTGGGACTGATTCAGCCCCCTAAATTTGGGTGTCCGTGAGGAGGCCTTGGCAATCTATGGGACCTCTGGTAGTAGGTCAGCATTTATCCCTGGCATAGGAATGGACTTTGGGAGCCCATTCCACATGGAGGGATGCTCTCTCAGGCTGGACACATAGGGGAGGGCCTAGGCCCTGCCCAGGATGATATGACAGACTTTGGAGGGCCTCACCCTTCCTGGGAGTGGAGTGGGGACTGGGTGGGGGGTTGGCAGGTTGGTAGGGGGTGGGCGAAGAGGGGAGGGAAAAGGAGCTGGGATTGACATGTGAAGCAAGTTTGTTTCTAATTTAAACAAAAAAGAAAAGATTTGTTTTTATTTATGTGTATATGTATGCGTGTTTTGGTGTTAGTATATGTCACATGTGTACAGCTGCCCTTGGAGGCCAGAGCTCCTGAAGCAGGAGTTACAGGCAGTTGTGAGCTGATGTGGTTACTGGAAACTGAACTCTAGTTCTCTAGAAGTGCAGCCTGTGCTCTTAACTGCTGTGCCATCTCTCACCAGGCCCTGAACCATTTGCTTTTCATCTGAATATGCACAGTAAAGAGAAAAACAATTCTGCTCATTGCCCCAGCCTTTTCCTTTGGACAACTTTACTTTTTATTAAGACTTTCATCAGGGTCTGGTGCTGCCTTACTTTTTCTATTGCTGTGACAAAACACCATGGTCAAAGCAGCTTATAGATGAGTTTATTGGGGCTTACAGTTCCAGAGAGTGAGTCCATGATCATCATGGCAAGGAGCATGGCATCAGATAGGCAGGCATGGGGCTGGCGCAGGAGCTAAGAACCTATATCTTATAGGCTAAAGGAAGACAGAGAGGGGTGGAGATGGAGAGAGAGACAATGGAGAGAGAGAGAGAGAGACAGAGAGAGAGAGAGAGAGAGTTAACCTGGGAATGCTGTGAACTTTTGAAACCTCAAACCTACCCCCAGTGACACACCTCAAGGCCACACATAATCCTTCCCAAACAGTTCCACCAACTGGAGACCAAGCATTGAAGTCTATGAGACCATGAATCCCATTCTCATTCAAAGACTATTCAAACCACTATTTTCCATCCCTGGCTACAGACTTATGGCCACATCACAATACAAAATGCATTGAGTCCACCTTCAAAAGTTCCCATAGTCTTTCCATAGCAAGATTGTTAAAAAGTCCTAAGTCTCCTCTGGGACTCAAGGCAATCTTTTAATTGTAATCTCCTGTAAAAAGAAGAAGCAAGTCACATACTTCTAGCATACAAAGGCAAAGACTATACATTGCCATTTGAGGGTCTCTTGGACCTCCCTGACCAACAACTCGAGAGGAGGTTTCTCATGACTGGTACTGGCATCCTTGTTAGCTTGTCCACGACTCTTGGGGGGGTGTCATTTGTCACCCCACGTGGTGATACTTCTTTAAACTCTATATCTATGTATACACATACACATTCCTTACACGTAATCTAAACTATGTCTCCATATATACACATACATGCCTTACACATAATTTAAACTATGTATCCATGTATATACACATGCATCCCTTACATTTAATTTTAGGTAAACATAAAATAATGCAATTCTGTTTTTTCAAACATCCTTAAGGTAATTTAACTCACTCCCTTCCTCTCCCTTTGCCTATTCTGAATTAACTTGAATTCAGTAAGTAGACACTCAGCTTTGAGCTGTTGAGAATTTAGTTGAGACGACACAGCTGCGGAGACCTGAGGCTTCCAGAGTATGCTACCCCCTGTGTTTACCACTGACCACTCCCTCCCCACATCTGCTCTTAACCTTTGTGCATTACTTAATCACAATGAAGTACCCCAGACTGAGGGGCTTGTATGACATAAAGAGATCCCTCACAGCTCTGAAGCTCAAGGTGGAGGCGGGAATGTGAATGGTTCGTCTGAGCGCTATGAGGAAGAGGCTGTTCTAGGCTCCTTCATTTTGTGGGTTTGGTAGCAATCTTCGGTGTCTTTGGCTTGCAATTTCACTGTCAGGATCTTTGCCTGTGTGTTCACATGGCATTTTCCCTGTGTATGTCTGTGTCCAAATTTCCCTTTTTGTAAGAACACCAATAACATATTATGTCAACTTGAAACAGGCTAACGTCATCTAGGGAACTTCAATTAGCAAAATGATTCCTTAAGATGGCGCTGTAGGCAAGCCTGTAGGGGATTTTCTTAATTAGTGATTGAGGGCCCAGCCCATGGTGGGTGGTTTCATTCCTGAGCTGGTGGTCCTGGGTTCTATAAGAAAGCAGGCTGATCAAGCCAGTAAGCAGCATTCTTCAATAGCCCGTGCATCAGCTCCTGCCCTGACTGAGTTCCTGTTGTGACTTCCTTCAGTGATGAACAGCAAATGCTCAAGTGTAAGCCAAATAAACCCTTTCTTCCCCAAGTTGCTTTTGGTCCTGGTGTTTCATCATCCTAACTAAGACACATGGGAGTAGAGGTCCACCCTTAATCTTTTGTGACACCATCCTCACTAACTATAACTATAAAATGGCATTTTCCAAATAAGGTCATATTCAAGATGCTTGCAGCTAAGGCATAAACATCTGAGCACGAGGGGAACAAATTCAACTTGCAACACCTTGCCTGGTTTTAATGATTCTTTTTTTTTTTTTTTTTTTTTTTGGTTTTTTTCGAGACAGGGTTTCTCTGTGGCTTTGGAGGCTGTCCTGGAACTCGCTTGGTAGTCCAGCCTGGTCTCGAACTCACAGAGATCCGCATGCCTCTGCCTCCCGAGTGCTGGGATTAAAGGCGTTTTAATGATTCTTAACCCAGGGATGCTTCAGTGACCCGTGGGGTATCTCCAGGATGAGCTGTGTGTGATTTTCATCAGTTCATGAGCAAGTTACATCTTGAATATCCCCCAATCTGTGCAAGTCCTGGGAACCATGTGTGGTCTCCAAGGCTCTGGCCACTTTGCCCACCCTGCCAGCTCTTCTCACTCAGGAGTGTCTCCTTTCCAGACCCGCCCCGTGAATCCCAGCTCCTTCAGTTGCCCTGGATTCCAAGCTCCATTTCCTTAACTCAGCAAAGCTGCCAGACTCCGGATTCCTTCTCCCTCTGCCCACGCAGCACAGAAACCACCTTCAGGCAGGAAGCCAAGGTGCTCTTCAGGCTCAGCGTCCTGTTCTCCTTTCTCAGGGATCACAGTCCTGTGTTGCTGCTTTAGTTCAATGGACATAATTCAATGAACTGTTTTTTCCCCAGTGTCCAGTTGTTTAACCCTCCCTGTACCAGTATATTCATCTGTATTGACTTTTTTTCAGCATGTTGAATATTGGAACATGATATATCCATATATGCATCACAGCTGAGCTAAAAAGAACCACAGAGCCTATTTTCAGGGTTCTCACAAAGTCCCACTATTGACGTTTAATCATTGGCCCTCTCCCAGACACACCTGGGAGATGTTCTCTTAGCATAATCCCCTCTGAAGCCAGGAGGGAAGAAGGTAAATGGTGGGAGTAGAGTGCAGGATCCCTAAACTTCAGGCAATCCTAAAAGAACATGGGGCCTGCCTTGCCATAGCTAGCTGCTGTGGCTCAGTAACTCCGTTGTTATGGCCCATGAACTAAATGGAAAGACATGCAAGTTTCTGACAAACATTTGAGTCCAGATATGCTAAGTTATCTTAATCCAATTCAATACTTTCTCTAAACTCTCTGTAAAGGGAGGAGACATAACTTATGATGTAAATGTGTCACCCAGGATAAGTGTCTTGGGATCTGGCCACTGGGTCTCAGTTCCCACTTGTCTATTTACTGAACTTCAGTGGATTCCCTCTGGGTTTCCTGGTGGAGATTACATATTGCATAATTGTATTTTGAGTATAAAAAGGAGCATGTGTCTGCCACCATAACCCACTATACAGCTGACTCGGGAAAGCAGCCCGGGTTTGGCATTGTAGTAGGAGGCTCCCAGAAAGACCTGTCCCCCAACATTTTCCACCACACCCTTTCCTGTGCTCTTCACCAACAGGCCAGCACTTCTTGGAGCTTTGCTCAGGGTTTTGGGAAATTACACATACGCTTATTAAGCAGAAAACATAAATCAGTGCTTGCTGTTGATCCTTTGGAAGGGATTGATATAGTGAGATCTTGCTTGTACAAATAAAGCCTGTCTGAAGGTCAGAGGATGGAGCTTGCCACTAGCTAACCATAGAGGTCTGGAGGTCTGTAGAGATAGACAGGAAGTGGAATGACTGGGTAGAAACAGGAAGTGAGATGGCTGGGCAGAGAGAAGATATAAGTGGGAAGAAACAGGAACTCACTCCCTTTTCTGCTGGGAAGCTAATGAAGTAAAGATAGCTTTGGCTTGCTCCTTCTTCTCTCTGATCTCAGCGTTTTCCTCTGTATCTGACTCCGGGTTTTCATTATTTGGACCAGTCAAGAACTCCATTTACAGACTGGTTTCCAGCTGTTTACTGATGGAACTTTGTACAAAGGCATACATGAATGAGAGTTTGGAGAGGGAGGCTGGTGAAACAAGGAAGCTTGCCTACCAAAGGTGAGTCCAGGGCTTCCTCAAGCTGCAAGAGGACCCTCATGTGCACCAAAACTGAAACTCGGTTGTGTCATAATTCCACACAGGGTTCCCACTGCAAGGCAATTTTATACAGGCACAACTAGATTAAAACACAGTCAAGAACATTTATAACATATGCATGAAACAAAGTATAGACCCCTCCATCCCCGGGCATTCTGAAATGGAGGAGGCGATGTGATTATTAGTCCAGGGGGTGACTTTGTCAGTGGATGTTGCCCCATTCTTCTCAGCAAGTCTCCAAACCTGCCTGAGGACTCCCCGGCACAGTCAGACCACGGATTCGCCATCCCCTCTCCTGTTTTTCCATGGAAACAATAAAAAAATTATTCCACATCCTCCTTTCACTCCAAACACTATTTTTAGTGCTCCCATTTGCTATAGAAACGCTGGCTTCGTTCCTTCACCTCAGTGCCACAGCGTTTCACTGACGGGGATGAGGAACAGCTGCCTAAGCAGTTTGCAGAAGACAGTGTGTTCTCTGGGTACCAAACACCTGCTTTCTGACCACGTTTTATTTGTCACTCAGCCACAAATTAGTAACTGCCCAAATACTGTCCACTAAAATATTTTTGTGATTAAAAATTCCTTTTAAAATGTTATACTCTGTCAAATCAGTGAGATCCTATCAGAGGGGCTAAGAATATGCTGCAGAGGTTGTTGATTGCCGAAATTTTGTGATGACCAGGGAAATGCTGCAAACTGCAGAACTGGACCAGGAGGTGGGCTGTCCGTAAAGGAGGTGGGCAGAGGTTGGGCACACCCTTCTCTGGATGCAGGTATGAAGCAGTGCTTGGCCATCAGTGGGTAACCTTGGAGCAGGTACTCCCTTATCCCCCAGAAAATGAGGATGGAGAGTACATTCCCTAAGATCCTGGGCAGATCTCAGTTTCCAAATCTAAATTCCAGTCACGTAGCACATCGTGCTGGGGAGGCAAGAGAAGCTCCGGGAAGCTCCATCTAAATGAAAACCGTGAACGGCATTGGGTACCAGAAACACAGCGGCGCGCTCATTGGCAGAGATTATCACCCTTATCCAGCGCCTCCCATTTAGACTCCCACATTTGTTCTCCGTGCTTCTAAATTAGTCAGTGTAAAGACTTTTAAAAGATTAGCTGGTTTAAAGTCACAGTTGCGAAAGGGAGCTATGTGGGCCAGCACATAAATCAGATATACACTTGTTTTATTTCTCTGCCTGAGAGAAAAGTAGTTATTTGGACTATTTTCTTGATAATTAGAGTTCCTAGCTCTCATATTTTAAACATTATTCCATATAAACACAATATTATTGTTATTGGTATTGTCCCCAATCACCTTCTGGATTCTTCCAAACCTGACCACACATTTGGATAGACAAATAACAAATATTTTCAGAAACAATTAGTATTAAGCATTCAAACACAGAGTTCTATGGAAAATAATATTATTGATGTCTAAAACCAACACAATTCTGACATGTAGGTATCCTGAATAAAAGAACGTACCTTTTTGAATGTGAGGAAAGGATTAATAACACATCCTGTAACATTTTGGTTGGCTGAACAGGAATTGTTTTAGAAGCATTGTGAGGGATGTTGAGGAAAAGTCTATATATTGTGGAAAGATTCCCAAACAGATCACCAGTGTTTAGCATGAAAAGAATCAACAGCAGCAGGAACAAATGAGGCCTCTTAGCTAAGAGTGTGAATCCTATTAGAGTGGGACAATGATAACCTTCATTTAGAACAGCAGATATTAAGCTTATCCAGGTAGCGTTTGACCCCAGTGCGTCTGATGGGCCACTGCTACAGACTACACCGTGAGCAGGGACTGGAAAATGGGACCCAGCAATGAGATGGAAAATCCAAATAAATGTTTTATTAGTAACTTATTGTGATAAATAAATTAGTGGGGTGTGAGTGTGTGTGGTGCATGTGTGTGCATGTGAATGTTTGTATGTCTGACGAGCTTGTGGGTGTGTGCATGTGTGCCCATGCATATGTGGAAACTATTGGAAAATGTATGGTGTCCTGCTCTAGCTCTCTCCTTTTCCCTTTGAGACAGGGGCTCTTGCTGGTGTCGTTTTGCTGTTTGGGCTAAGCTGGATAACCAGCAAGCTCAATAGTCATCCTATCTCTGTCCCATTGTGTGGGTGAGCGGCTCTGAACTCAAGTCTCCTCAGGCCTGCATCAAGCACCTTGCCCACTGAGCTGTTTCCCTAGCTCCAAACTGGCAGTTTTAAATAATGCAATCCTTTCATAGTTCTGGGGATTGGAGTCCTGGTAGGAATCTCACTGGGATAAAATTGGGGGGTTAGAAGGCTTGTATTCTTCTGAGGGCTTAAGGGGGGAGAAACTGTTTCCTTGCCTTTTTAGCATTAGCGGATTCCCACCTTCCTGGGCTTATGGCCCCTTCCTCCACCCTCAGGCAGTAGTCAATGGAGTTCTCCTCTGTCTCCCACAGGCTCACAGGCTCTCAGGACACCATCTGCTCTTTCTCCTGTGAACAACTTTACAACTGTGTTGGGCCCACCCAGATGGTCCAGGAAACATCTCCCATCCTGCACTCAACTGACAAATGACCACATTTCTGTAACTGTTTAACTTCCTGTGAAGAAGCAAACCCATGTATTCACAAGAGACTATATACAGTGCCCGAGAGTAGCCAGGGGTGTCAGGGAGCCACTCAGGGGCAAATGAAAACGTGAAGAGTTGTGTCTCAGGTCTGTGGGTGCCAAAGTCTTAGGCTCATCATACCACTCACCCTGGAACCCCTGTCTCTAACTCCTAAAGGAAGGAAATATACACGGGTGGGCCATCAACATACCATCAACAAATGCTGTAACATTCCCTGTAGCCACATAGCAGAATGTTAGCAAGTTGTTAAGAATTTATACTTACGAAGACTTCATCATCACATGGGGAAATACTTGGAGTATAATGTAGTTCTTTAAAAAGCATATAAAATTATTTGTGTTTACCTCAACTGTGTGTGGGGTTTTTCTTTGTTTGTTTGTTTATTTTTGGGTGGGGGTGGAGACTGGGCCAAGGTTTTGGGTGTTCTAGGCAAGTGCTCCGCCTTTGCTGTACATTCCCTTGTCTATGCCTTAACTTCAACCATGCAGGAGATATCCGGATGCCTTTTTTATAGTAAGTAAAAATAGAAACAACAACAAAACAGCAGCAATCGTGACCTCTGGGGTTGGTATGTGCTGGTGGTCTTCCCTTTTTTCTGATAATGTTGGGTCCATCTGTTCAGATAGCAATTACACGTGAAAAGAAAGGCCTGGTGGGGCTGGCGAATTCTTTCATGTGTTTAGTTGGAGCAGCTCTGTGCATTTTCTTGGCAACCGGGGAGGAGCAGAGGAAGTTGGTATAGGCTGTGGCTTTAAACAGAAAAGCATCATGGGAGGATCAAGGGCTCAGGGCACTCACTGCTGGTGCCCAGAAGAGTGGTGTAGAGTAGCTGTCATGAGGGTCAAGGCCATGGGGCTGGACATGGCGGGGACTTGTGAGCTAAGGCAGAAGGAAGGGAACAGAACGAGCTTTGAGTAGGTCAGTTTGGGAAAAAGAGTTTGAAAAGGGTGAATGCTTCACTTGAGGGAACCACTCGAGGCCGATCATGGTGGAGTCGACTTTGGCAGTCTTCCTCCATTGCTCCCTCTCAGTTAAACCCAGAGCTGACTAATACAGGCCAGCCCAGCCAGTCAGCCTCCGGAGAATCCCTTGTCTCTGCTTTCTGAGTGAGGGCTAGAATTCCAGGTGAGGTGGTCATGATCTCAACCAGCATTTACATAAGGGCTAGAGATTCAGTCCCCAGCCGTTACACTCCCACAGTGAGGTGGCACAATTAGACCACTGCCACCAAGGTTTTCCTGGGCAACAGACCTGTTGCCTGGAGGATGACAGCCAGGCTGGCTGCTGCCTCCAGCGCTCCACCAAGACAGCCTGCCTATGGGCGCTCTGCTTCCTGGATCTGAGCGAAACCAAAGAAATTGGCTGTCTTCCAGAGACCCACAAGCAAAGTCCCAAAGAACACAACGTTCCCACGGCCAGCATAGGTGAGAAAGCCCATCATCTCTGACTTAACTCTCTTCACTCCACCATAAGCCTCTCTTTTAGCCAAAAGAATCTGCAGGGCAATGGGGACTCATTTCTAGCTAAATCTCCTTAGTGACAATGGTGATGATGGGGCCAGAGATTGTCCTGGTTTGCTTTCTGTTGTGTAGCAGGAAACTGTGACCAAAGGTGGTGGTGGTGGTGGAAGGTATTTGGCTTACATTCCCACATCACAGTCTATCATTTAGAGAAGCCAGGGCAGGACCTCAATTAGGAACTGAACAGAGACCTTGTGGGAATGTTGCTTCCTGGCTTGTTGGTTTTTTGTTTTTGTTTTTGTTTTTTTAGCAGTCTGAGACCACCTGCCCAGAGGTGGTTCCACCCACAGCGACCTGGGCCCTCCTACATCAACCATCAATCAAGATGGAAGACTTTCTAATCTACTGGGAGCATTTCCTCAAAGGAGGCTCCCTCTACCATGGTGACTCTAGCTTGTGGCAAGTTAACCAAAAGCTAACCAACACAGGAATAACTGAGTGAAAAGGAATTAGAAATACTTTAAAATGTAAACTTGAAAAGCTTTCTAGAACTTCTGATGGTCTGAAAGAGGCTTCTTTCTGGGAGTAGGTAAGGCTCAGTCTCTTTTCCTAAATTCAAAATCATTGTCATCAGTGTTAGAGGCCACTTTGACAGGGGCAGTAGGAACACAGACCATGGGTTCAAACTCTGGCTTTGCCTCTTAGTACCTGTGTGACTGTGGTCACAGTCCTTTCTTGTTTGCCCTCAGCATGGGGAAAATATCATCAGTCCCTCGCTTGAAGTGTGGCAGTAACATTGAATCTTTGTTCAGGGTTCTGCCGGAGACTGAAGCATTTCACTGAGTGACTGCTTTCGAATGTCTTGGGACAGCATCTAACTTCTGGCAATGCTGTTTTGCCAGAGTAGACCAATGGACTCAGGAGTGGCATGGCCTCCTTTGTCTTGTCAGGGAGTAAGGGCCTCCTCCCTTGGAAGGGGATGTTTAGCCATAGCCGAGACAGACTTTCTAGCGTCCGAAAAGCCACCAACCCTATGCTCGTGGCTGTGTGGTGGTTTCTGTGGGCTTTAGGAAACTGTTTCCTTTGGAGTTCTACAAACCCTCACTTGAATCTATTATCTTTTTCTCAACTGGCTTGAAGGCTTGGTGACAGATGTGCTAGGAAGAGCTTCAAGGACAGACAGCAACTTAGAACCAGAGCTGTTCATGAAGGTGAAAGTCCCTGGGGGTGTGACAGGCAGCTCTTTCTTCTCACATTCCCTCTTTTGGAAGCAGAAAGGTCCCCACTCTCCAGCCTGCAGATAATTTTCCATGTTGCTAACCTAGTCACAGAGTTCCCAACCACTATCTATTTTGGGTGTTGACACCGTGTTCTCAGCCTTAGCTAATCATCAAGATCCTGTGTGTGTGTGTGTGTGTGTGTGTGTGTGTGTGTGTGTGTGTGTGTCTTTTTTTCCCTCTGGAACCCTCCAGGAACTTCAAAAAGCCACCCACAAGCACATACAAATAAAGCTAGAGACTTCTGATACTCTGGAAACAAAAAAAAATCTTAGGTTAGAAAGACAATTTATGGAGTCAATAAATATTTAGTGGTTATAGTCGTGCAGAATGGAGTGGATCTGAATAGCAAGCAGCAGCAGGCTCGAGGTGGGTGAGGGCACGAGTTTGCTTGCAGTTTAGTTTGAGGATTTCAAACAAGGCAAACATATACACCTAACCAATTCATTTTCTCCTCCGTGAGTCACCTGCTCATTGTGAATGGTTGTTAATTTGGAGGCTGGGCGACAGATTCACGGTTTGTTTATGTTCTTTTCACAGAGGGAATTAAATTCATTTAACCATCAAAGGGGACTTTTAAGTGATTAGCTTGAACCAAAGGGATTGATTACATCAAAAAGTTAAAAATGCAACAAGCTTCCTTTTATGTATCCAACTAAATGAGATCTATAGCCAAGTTTTTTCCGGTCTTCCTACTCTGTTTGGGATTTTGGTCCCATTTTTCAGTCAGCTGTGCAGAGAAGCTTTTCCAAATAGTGGTGTAACTATGGGCTTTTGGGGTTCTCTGTGTCCCTAGTTGCAAGCCGCATGGCTCAACAGTAGAGTGTGGATTCCTCTAGATCTCCCAATAACACTCATGGCGCTGCGAAGTCAGATCTCAGCGCCCACTCGAGTGCCGCTGTCTGGCGGTAGAATTCTCTCTTCTAGCGGGGGCTCATGCTATTGCAGCCTAGGTGCCCTTCTGAGACTCAGTTGATGTTCCTGGTGCCTGGCTCCTCTTTGACACGAATGACACCGTTTGGTGTAGTCCTGGAGAAATGATGCTGGGCCGTGCCAACAGACCAAAGCTTAGGGGAAGCGAGGCTCTGTAGGTAGGTAGCTGATAAGCTGAGCAGGTATTCAGAGCGAGCCAGTCCGTTTCTTCCCAAAATGGGGCAGCTCCTCAGCTAAATGAGGGGGATGGGGTGCGAAGCTGAGATGTCTCCTCCAGCCTCTCTTCCCACACTTGCCAGTGCCACAGCAATGATTCACCTAGAGACGGGGCGGCAGCTTCCCCCGTGAGCCTTCAGACGCTCGGACCCACAAGGTTATGAAACAACTTTTACTTGTATTCCTATGTGTACGTCCCTCCCTTGCACCCAGGCGCCCACTCTCCGAGGCCCAGGTGGCAGGAAGGTGGCGCGCTGGAGCCCCGATCGTGGGCGTCCCCGTCCCCGCGGGATCCAAGGGCCCTCGGGGTCTCGCACAGGCAGGGGCCAGCCAAGCTCCGAGCTCCGCAGCGCCGCCGCGTGGGGTGGCCAGGGTCCCGCGTGCCCGGCGGGAGCGGCGCGGGGGAGGCGCGCGGGCCTGGGCGGCGCGGAGAAGAGCTGAGCCGAGCAGAGCAGCCGCGTCCGCCCCCGCCGGGCCGCGCGCAGCCGAGCCGGGAGCCGCGAGAGCGCGCCCAGCGCAGGGCCAGCGCGGCCGCCCGAGGGTCGCGCCCGTGCCCGCGTGCATCCCCCGGCCGCAGACTCCGCGCTCCCCGCGCCCTACCGCCACCTGCTGCCCGGCGCCGCCGGCCCTCGACGCTGCGGCCGGGGGTCAGCGCGCATCCCGGCGGAGCAGCCCCCGCGAGTCCCCGGGAACTGAGCCCTTCCCGGCGCGTTTGCCAAGCACGGCCACGCTCCGGTGCCAGGTACCTGGGACGATCTGAAATGGCGTGGCCACGCTGCGCGCGTGGGGCACAGATCCCGCAGGGTTGGGGGGAGTTGGGGCCGGGGGTCTGGTGTGTCCCCCAAGTCTTGTCCCCACGTGGAGCTTGGGAAGTGGTGGCGGGCAGAGTCGGGGCAGCACGGGCTCTTCAGACCCGGGATCCACACCACCCTGTGGGGTCCAAGTCCACAACACCGTGGCTGATGGGGCCGAGAGGAGCCAGACGCTTAAGTGCCCAAAGTTTTCCTCTGAGCACTTTGCTGGACTTAACTTTGAAATGTGAGGCAGAGCTGAGCTGTTTAACCAGTTTTAACACTAAGAAAACAGAGGAAGAGGGGGAGAAGGGCTTGATGCCTGCATTTCAGCTCTTAGTACTGAGCATAATCTATCAGTCTCCAAAGGCCATGGTGACAGAGACGAGTGGACACATTGACTGTCTTCCTTATGCTTCAGGTCATGGTTTATTTAACAGGTCTGGGGCTTAGGTTACAAGCCACCAGAAGGGATTCTGAGTTGAATCTTAGAAATATTCAAAATGTGAATCAACAAATATTTGTTGAGCAGTCATTTCCTAACTGACAGGGCTCTGTTTTCAGTATGAAGTGTACATGTGCTGAGAGCCTAAGTAGTTGCCCAAACGAGCTAGCATTTGGCTTTTGAAATGCAAGGGAAAAGGAAGACTGCGGTGTGACTGGACTT